TTCCACATTAATAAACCAGTCTTAATTAGAATAGTTGAGGTCATAAGCACGGTGATACTATTTTCAATTACTTTCACAGATAAAGATAGTGATAGTAATTGTTTAAAGAGCAATTGTTACTGCTCTTTTTTTTTTTTTTGTCAGTTGGCCTGTATGGGGATCCAAACCCTTGACCTTGGTATCCTCGTGCTGGATAACACCATGTTATTGCTCTTTTCTCATGAGCAATCTGATTCAAAAGCATGCTTCTAGAACTTGATTATCCTTGGGCATGCTGTATTCATTTTGAGTCAGTCACTTAACATCATAGTATCTAAGTATCCTTGATTTTAAATAGTACTTACATTGTTTATTATCTGCTGGCAATTCTTGCTCTAGGCTATTCTTTTCTTGAATATTTAAAATAATACTGAAATTAAGGAAAGTACCCACCATCCAGATTCAATGAATATAAACATTTTTCTGTATTTGCTTTAGATCTTTTGTTTTATAAGGGATAAACCATCACAGATGCAGTTTATAGTAGCTTATATTTATTGAGCACTTACTATGTACCAGGCACTATGTAGAGGTCTACACGTATTAACTTATTTAATCCTTATGCAATACTATGAGATATGTGCTATTCTTATCCTCATTTTAAAGATGCAGGAACTGAAGTACATGAAGTTAAATAATTGTACCCAAATCATTTATCTAGTTAATAGAGGAGCTGGAATTCAATACCAAGCAGTGTAGATTTCATGTTATTAACTATTGTCCTATGCCATTGTAGTCATTTGTATGCATTCCTTCACTCCCCCAGAGGCAAAACTGATCTGAAGTTGGAGTGCCTCTTGTGTTTATGTTTTTATATGTTTGCCACCTAATTACATATAAACATTATACAGTGTTTTGTGGTTTAAGAGTAGCATCCTCAGTAAATAGAGCCCTGCAACTTGTTTTAATCTCATTATATTTTGAGATCTTTCACATTAAATCTAGTATATTTTAAGTGCTGTGTTCATCATCCAAATATACTTTATCTATATGCTAAACTCCTGACTGTGGGTGAGTAATGAAAGAGTTCAGCATGGAATATATTACAGTACTTTGGCAGCAGAATGACCTTCCTGATTGTTTCCAGGGAGTGATGGAAGCTTAGTTAGATAACTCTGCACCTCACAGCCTGAGTTGCCTTATCTGTTATGAGGAGATTGGACTAGCTGGTCTTGCTCAGAGTTGGCTTTGAACATCTGTCAATAAAAAAGTAGAATGCATCGGATTTCTGTACTCTTGGCAGAGGTAGCCTGAGTTTGGAATTTAGAATTTATCCAGAATAATTCCCACACTTGTATTTCAGAGTTGCCAAACATTTTTCTCTTGCTTTCAAAAGAAGTTTCAGTTTGGAAGGGTCTTAACAGTATCTGATTGCACTATCTACCCCCAAAACCTTAGTCAAAATGATTTTTTAATTTGAATGAGTTCCTTAAGTGTCACAACTATCACAGATCATTTATATGGAGCTGAGACAACCAAATAGAGGACATGAGGACACCACTGCCCTGTGATAATATTTTCCAGAACATTTTGCTGGATAGGGAGCTACAGACATTTTTGCTTTACGTGTTTTTCTTCATTATCACATGTAGCTGGCTCTTTCTTGTCTTTTCCTTCTTGCTTGATGTGAACATCATGCCCTCTGTTGGGGAGGCCCATGTTGGGGAGTCTTTAGGCTAAATGGCTTTTAGCAGCAAGCATTAATATAAGTCTTCAACCATTTCTGAAATGGGTTTTTTAAAATAGACTGAGGACATACTCCAAGATGTATAGGAAGAGAAGAGGAGGAAAATCAGCTTAATTATATTACTTTATTTTATATCTTAGGAACGTGTTGTGGGCTTTCATGTATTGGGTCCAAATGCTGGAGAAGTTACACAAGGCTTTGCAGCTGCGCTCAAGTGTGGACTGACCAAAAAGCAGCTGGACAGCACCATTGGAATCCACCCCGTCTGTGCAGAGGTGGGTCACCTACACTTTAACAGCTTCACTTAAAAAATGCACATTGCCCAGCTTATAAGTTGCAGATCTGGGACTCTGACGCTGGTGTTCTTTCTGCTATACTCGAGCTACTTCTGTATCTTCTGATGGTTTGATAATGATTGAGAATACCTCAAAAGAAGGTCTTGTCTTTAAAGAGTTTTTCTCTTTCAAATATTTATCGCTCCTGGTATAAGCTGGAGACTTCTATCATACTATTAAATGGTAAAAATTATGAGAATGATTTATAGAGATGTGCCTTAAATCCTTTATTATCATGTCTCCTAAATTATTTTCATGGCAGTCAGTTAATAATGCCATTCATACACAGAAAGAACTTCAATTTTAGTTATCCTGGAACTACCTTGAGGCTAAATGATGTTGTCTGCCTCTGGAGATTTTGGTATCAAAGAATGAGATTTGGAAGTGATGCTTTCCCATGGTCAAGCAAATGACAGTAGAGCTGGAAATTGACCAGTCTAGGCCTCTGGCTGTCACTGTTTCTTCACTGTCAGTGATCATCCAAGAGTTGAATATTGTGATACTTACTACAAAGGGATGGTGGATGATAAGCCAAGAATGTGTTTACATTGGAGAACTTGGTGAAGTTTGGGAGGAGGCATCTCATATCATACCAACTTAGGTATGGAGTGAAAATTGCAGCTATTATCTTTCTACCATAGCCAGTAGTTCCCAGGGTGTACATTGTGCTTAAAAGCAAACACATGCACACACATCCAGCTTTCATTCAGCAGCTTCATAACTGGTTGGTCTCTGTTACTGATTGCCCTTGCACAACTCAACTCTGCTGATTATGTGAAATGTCAGCTTTAAGACCTGGAAAAATGTTTTAGCTTCCTTTTACTCTGCCTTTTCTATGATTAGGAATGGTTTTCTTGTCTGTATTAATATGTGCCTGGCTGGGATGGAAGCAAAAAATATTAACATGTTGAGAGATTAAGGTATCATTCATAGAAAGCTGCTGGTTTTGTGAAGAAAATCAAACTAAGCTTCAAAAAAATATAACATAGAAACTGAAAA